TAGAATGACTAAATAAGACTATTATCGGTCAATTTTTTAAGAACCTAGACTGTGAAAGAATCTTATCCTAAATATATACTGATGGAAACTGCTTTAAATGCATGTGTATAAAATGATGGAAAATACAAATGACATTCATAGAATATTAATGAGCAATGCCAAGAAATTCCTAGCAGCATGCATACATACTCTTTATAGGTATAAGTGTATGCCTTTATAGATTTAGTGTGATCTACCACACCCCGAATGCATGACTATTTCTATTTTGAAAAAAGAGAATATGTTAGATCATAATCCTACTTCTTAAAGACATTCATCCTGCTTTATCCCATTCGGACTCAAATGCCCTCTTTGTAAAGTTACCAATAATTAATAAATATTATCTTTAAATCCCTTTTGGCTGGCTTCAGGAAATGCACTCCGGCACTATGAGAACAAGCAAACTGGTAAATAACATGAACATAACACTACTATAAAGACTACTCCTGCCATGCCTGTCCCTACTACTTCATGATTCTCAAAAAATGCCCATTATCAAATTCTTTATCCGCTCGAGGAACCTAGAAAAAACATTCTCAAGAGCAGATATATCTAAATATGCCAATACAGACAAGAGAATGTGAAATAAAATGATCATACAAACCATGCCACAAAAATTAATCTAAAACCAAATGTGTCTGTTAATTCAAAACCTTGGTCCCACAAGAAATTCTCAACAGATGGAATCACATTTTATAGTACGGGTTATTCTGGACATGTTTCTATTAAATCATACAGTAGTCAGCTGTATCTGTTTTAAAAACGTAATTTTTTTCTAAAACATATTTACTACTAGTACATAAGAGAACAATATTAATTTATCAAGGAATTAGTTGTTATACTTCACATGAAAGTACAAAAATTAATAACTATTACCTTAAAAAATTAATGAGCTGCTTATATCACATGTACTTATCTTGCAAAAACCCTTTATTTCTCTCTCTCTAGTTCTAAACAAATCCAAAGGAATACAGTTTACAGCTTGTTTTTACGTTGCTGTTTTTAGTATACTCCTAAATACAGTTTCTGTTTTTAGTATACTCCTATATACTGTAAACCAGATGACAGAAACAAGTTTTTCAAAGAAAAGTTTCATATACTGCATTATGAAAAATTAGATAATGATCCTTTTTGTAAATAAATAACTACATAAAACATTTCTAAATACAGCGTGGCTTTACAAGTTAAGAAAATCTACAAAATCTAGATTACATGAAAAAACAAAAAAACCTGAGTCATCAACAAACAAGTAATCAAGAGACTTACATGGCCAAAAGAAAGAAAATCCCTGTAGCTAATTTCAGTACAAAAATGTATTACACTATTATCTTACAATACATGTGGAAATACTGCATATCTTAACTTGTTTACCAAATACTGTCTCACTTTTTTTCCTCTCCAGTCAGAAGTCAAATGCACGTCCAACTTTGTTCTTAGACAAATTACCCGAAAATGCATTTATCAAATGTTTTGTTTAAGCTCTTCTATAACATAAGCATTCAAATGTTCACATAAATACCACAATCATGGGATTGCAGTGCATTAATATGAATAAATCAATGTTATAGAAGAAAGGTAAACTAAAAAAAACATCTAAGAAATACTTTTTATGGCTATTGGTCAGAGAATACCTATGGACACACGTCCCCCCTCAAATATACTCGTCATATTCCTATTCTGTCTGCAACGTCATGGCTCTTTTCATAATAATAAGACTAACTCTACTAGTAACAATCGCTTATTGTCAGGAAACACCTGTAAACAGTTTACATAAAAAACTATCCACCTATGTACAAACTCAGTTTCTCAAGACATACTATACATCAACTGTTTATTTTACCAAATTTTACCAAACTCCAAATTTTACATTTAAAAAATGTCTGCTCTTTGTTCAACTCTGACATCCACTTTCATTCACATAAAATATTAAAACTGGTTTTAGGGTTTTGATATAAAAGAAAAAAAATTAAAAATGCACAAAATCAATCAATGACACCTTTAAATTCATGTACAGTTTGAACATTTGCATAAAGCAACCATTATTTGCTAGAATTTCAACCATAACTATACTTACATCAAAAATGTTGAAACAGCTTGTTCCTAGTGTCTTATAATCCCTACATTTTATACTACCATACAAAAAGGGGCATAACAAAGCATGTACGCTAGGTCTATTTGTCTATTTTTTATGGGCTAAACTTCTTGTTTTTCTTTTACCATGATACATTTTCCACTATTGTTGGACAATGAGCTCTTCCAAAAAGGCTATGATGAAGAAAGCAACAGACACTACAGTACAAATAAAAAGGTCTAAAAAAAGATTTTAAAAATTTAATGAGCAACAGGGCATTGGACTTCCTATTTGGAGACAAAAAATAAAAGGATTTAATTCTATGTCAAAGACTTATTTTTTTATTTGTTCTTTAAAATAAAACTTTTAATTGATAATCATATTCTTTCGAGCAATTGTTCATTTCACAGATCTGATACCTATTATCACTGCGGCATATATCTAAAATTGAGTATATGGCACTCAAAAAGAACATATGAAGTCATTAATGTCTTTTAATTTAAGTGTTATACTCATGTTGCTTAAGTTTAATGACTATTTTTCTCTACTAATACATCAATAACAGTAAGCAGAAATTCGCAATATTTCCCAATTTCTAATGTTTTGAAACAAAAATATTTTGGAAAGTTTTCATTATGTGATACAAATTTATATTTGATATATGAGGTTATGTCAATCACTTGCATATGCATGCATATAAATAGAATTTCTCACTTACTAATAAGAAAAATTATATCAAAACATAGATCCTACAACACAAAATATGAGGAATAGGAAAAACACGTATCTAACCAAGAAAACACTAAAGGTACATTTGCTTATTATCCACAATTTCTTTGACATCACAAATGGATGAAAATACTTATAAAAGCAAATAGGAAGATTCTAAAAATTATCTATCACAGTTTCAACTACTTGATAAAATGGAGGAACAAAAATCACAGTAAAAAAATTAAGAATAGGCATCCACAGGTATAGCTTTCATTACCTAATTTGTATGGTAAGCCCCGTTAAATCTGAAGAATTAAAAATCCAATGGATTAGAAGAACATGAGTTGGAGCATTAGAGGAAATATGGTATAACCAAAGAGAAGATTTGTATAAAAGATTGTATACATTCCATAAAAGAATAAAGTCAGTGATATGGAACAGTTGCAAAAAAAAGACACACTAAAATATGAGCACGTAATAAAAACTTCAAACACTACTTTATACTAATAGATAAAACAACAGTCATGTCTACACTTAAAACCTCTCTGGAAATGAGCTCCCCATAAACTCTATTCAATTATCAAGAAGTATCTTCTATTCCTAATCAAGGAAAATGAATTCCAGCTGTTCCTAAACATCCCAGGGAATCTAATACCTGGTAAATACCTTGAAGAAGTGTAAGTCCCTTCCTCTTGACACACTTAGAATTATCTAGATTTAATTTCACTAGATATTGCTACCAAGTCCTTTTTCTGCATACATTCTTGACTACTTTGGCCACTTTCATCACCATAAAATGCAACTAAGTTCCTCCCTCTTCACACCTTCCGTCATAAGGGAAGTGGTACACGAGCACAGACATGGCTCCATCCCGTTCCTAGTGTGTGCTCCCAGCTAGTGCCAACGGGACAGTCATGCGACACACCTACTCTCCTGGCGATGACCCCCTGGACTGGGCCCTTCTCGCTATCAAAGGAATCCAGCACGGCCCAGAGTGTCCCATCAGCCCCAACACTAATGCTGGCCACATTGCCGCACACCCACTCCCAGCTTGTGCCCTCTGGAAAGAGGGGAAGCACATTCGTCCTGCGGTACAGTCCACCACCACGCTCCAGGCCCCACACTATTCCAGCACCTGCACCAATCTCCATCAGGGGGTGGTTCGGGGCATCGACGTTCACCCACTGTCGGCCCTGTAACAGCAAAATGGTTATTAATATATTTCATTACAATTTGGATTTCTGACGGATACAATAATGACCTTGACTCCTTTCTACCAAAAGGCTCATTCTCTTGTCATTGCAGGATAATCTTGTACCTCTTTCAAAGGGGAATATACAAGAGAAATAAGAAATGGCCGCTTTTCCATATACAGTTTGATTAAATTCCTATAGAGGAGAATGGCTGGCTTTATTTAAGATCTAGTAAAATGTAAATTTTTATATGTTCAAAATAAAAATAAACAGATAACAAAACCAACTGGAATATCGAATATGTTCTTGACTATTTTTAAGATACATAAGTAGATAAATATAGGTAGGTAGGTAGGTAAGTAAGTAAGTAAGTAAGTAAGTAAGTAAGTAAGTAAGTAAGTAAGTAAGTAAGTAAGTAAGTAAGTAAGTAAGTAAGTAAGTAAGTAGGCAAACAAACAAATAGAAGCAGGTAGAGACAGACAGACAGACAGATAGACCAATAGACAGATAGACATACATACAAACAGGTGGGCAGTTAGACAGATAAGAAATAAAATCTAAGAAAAAAAGATACAAAAAAAAAAAAAAAACTCAACTACCTGTGGATTTTTCTTATTAATCCCGATCCTCAGATGTGCTCGGCCATCTTTGCTAACAGCCCACATCCCACAGCTGTCGACGGTTGCACAAACATAACACATGGGACACTCGGCCGGGACCAGGCTCCACTTTTCGCCTTCCGGTCTGCTGGGTGTCACGCCGTGCCGATAGACCACCTCTCCTGTCACACTCACCCCCCACACTGGCACTGTACCGTTGGCAGCATACTCAGGCTATGTAAAATAAGAAGAGTAATTTTTCTCTCTCTTTCAACAAATTTTCTATCTCTATCTCTAACTCACCCTCTACCTCTACCTCTATCTCTATCTCTATCTATATATCTATCTCTATTTCTATGTCTATCTCTATATCCATCTCCATCTCCATCTCCATCTCCATCTCTATCTCCATCTCTATCTCTATCTCTCTCTCTATCTATCTCTATCTCTATCTCTCTCTGCTCTATCTCTCTCTCTCTATCTCTCTCTCTATCTATCTCTATCTCTATCTCTAACTCACCCTCTACCTATACCTCACCCTCTACCTCTACCTTTACCTCTTTCTCTCTCTATCTCCCTAAATATCTATATTTGATTTTATCTCTATCTCTCTATGTTTGATTATCATAAAAATCATCTAATCTAAAATTATTCTTATTTTGCTTCCATTGACTGACTAGGTTTATGGACTGGAATTTTTGAGAAAGAATTACATGCCAACTTTAACTTTTATAACAAGAAAAGATATTACATCAACAAAAAAAACAAGAATTCAAATCAAATAAATTTGAGTGCCTTATACATATTTTTTTTTTAAAGCAATTCAGCCATATACTTTATTCTCAAATTTTGATATCCTTCTCAATGTCTACCTTCTGTTTACCTGATTACTTGATCAATTGAAGCAAAATAACTACTCTCCCTCTCCTGCTCCTAGTCCTACTCCCTCTCACACTTGCACTCACATTCATATGCTCCTCACATTCACTTTCATACTTGTACTCACACTCACACCCACATCCATACTTACATTCAGCCCAGGAGTTGCACTCACACCTGTAGTCACACTCCCACTTGCACACACATACTCACCCCCATACTCACACTCACACTTACACCCACACCCACACCTACACTCACACACACTTGCACTCCTATACTCACACTCACATTCCCATTCACATTCCCTTATATTCATCCTTGCCCACAGTCTTCCTTTTCTTCTCCCCTCCTTCCCTCGCTCTCCCTTTCATTCTCCCTTTCCTTCTCTCTCTCTTCCTCTCTCCTTATCTCCCTCTTTCCCCTTCCGTTTCTCTCAAATTCACACTCATTTCCTCCCTCCCTCTCTCCTCTCCTTATCTCTCTCTCTCTCTCATTTCCTCTCTCCTTCTCTCCCACACTTCCTCTCTCACTCTCTCCCTTTCCCTCTTCCTCTTTCAATCCCTCTTAAACTCACCGAAACAGATAGATTAACAAGTGCCACTTTCTCCATCTGTTGCCAGGGCCCTGAGGTTGATATGCGGCACTTCCTGACCCAGCGCCTTCTCCGCACAAGATCAGTCATGTATCGGTGGCCATGGTAGCTGAGTGGGAAATCCGTAGCATATTGCCAGCCCTCACGATCAACCCCACCAGGAGTGTGGTAATCAACACACCATTCACTCATCTGTGTGGAAAGTGAATATATGGAAAAAATAATATCGTAAGCATTGCTGGAAAAAAAAATAAATAAACTACAGAACAACTTATTACATCTCTTCAACTTTACATGTTACTGACAAAAAACATGTTAGATGCAATTCATTAAATACAGATTGCAACATACATGAAAAAAAAAAAAAAAACAGAATCATACCCAAGACCAATGACGTGATGGTAACTTGGTTCCCTCTCGCGTTTTGTGGTGCCTTCCAGTCTGATCACTCCAGGTGTGCCGGTCTGTTGGGAGGCCACGGTGAGTGAAGCCAGTCACTGGATTCCAGCGCTGGTTCTCCCAAACGTACATGTGACGGACATCGCTCATAATGTTCACATCAGAATCATTGCTGCTCCCTGGAATATGTGGTACATGAGCTGAGGTGTGCATACATGGAGGTGTCCAGTTGCAGCAACCTGAGACACTACATTTGCTTTATGGAAAATATCACCATTTCAAAATTTCAGAGAATGACAAGAGAGTGACTGTAGATATATAGTTATCTAAAAGGACCTATCACTGGCTTGAAATAATGGATACTATATCAACTACATTCCTTTGAAAAATATCAATATTCATAAACTTTCCATCAATAAAAAGCCCTGACTAATCCTTAGCCTATTACCCCCAGGAACATGTAATGCCCAATGTAATTTACTTCTGCGAGTTATTTGACCTCACATGATTTTCCCTTTCCTTAATTATTCAGGGTCCTTTTTCTTTTTCTTTATATTATTAATACTGATATTGTTATCATAAGCACAGACATTATGATTATCAGCAATATAAAATAAAAAATATATATATTAAAAATAATAATAATAATAAAAAATAAACAAAGAGTAAGCTGGGGAGATGGGTAAGGCTAGCAACTGACTCCTGTGTGAAAGAGTACTTGTGGAGCCATCTGTTAGTTAACATGAGTGATAAACTAAAATTACAGTGGACATGCCATCTCCAGCAGCACTGGATTAAACCCTGAGTGAAAAGGCCTTTCATCTCACCCTTATAGAGCCCTCCACCAGTCGCCCCAGTGTAAGTGTAGACATGGTAGTCATGGGAGATGGCCCACGTCACACCTCCAGCTCCGCTTTCCACTCGCAGGCAATGGCCGCCCAAACCACGCCAGTACCACTCATTCAGCTGTCTCTCACCCTGTTGGGAGATTTTATTTTATAATTTGTTTGTTTA